CAGTTTTGAATCATTCACTTACCGTTTTTCACATAACACTGTAATTATAATAGTTAGATTTTTAACCTTTCTTGTATTTTTACCAAACATATTTTTTTACATATTTTTATTGGATTTTTTAGAGAGAGAGGAAGGGAGAGGAAGAAAAAGAAACATAGATTGGATGCCTCCTGCATGCCCCTTACTGGGAATTGAACCAGAAAATTGGGCATGTGTCCTGACCTGGAATCCAACCTGCAACCTTTTGGTGCATGAGACAATGATCCAACCAACTAAACCACACTGGCCAGGACAAAAATATTTAGTAATCATTATTATTTTGCTATAATAAAAGAAACATGTTCATAAGGTTTTAGCAGCTATCTATATTTAACTTAAGTTATAGAGTGAGTTCCACATTGAGGTTTTTATAAAATATATTATTTGAGAAAGAAGAAAAAACAAATAAGTACGCAGGTGAATAATTAAGACAACCACAGCTTCCTGTTATTGATTTAATTTAGGGGTGATTGTAGCAATGACTAAAAATGTAGTAAATTTTCTAACTTTTTCCTATTAACTAGAATGTAGAAAGAAACAAAGATTAGAGGGTGTTAAATAGATTAAGCTGGGTGTAATAGGTGAACTTTTATTTCTGTTGTTCAGCTGCAATAAGAGAAAGCCAAAAACATTTAATTAGGATAGGAATTTATTTTTCTATTAAATAAAATGAAGTCAAGAGTACAGAGTACCTGGCACCTTCATGATGGCAGCAAGGATCCAATTTCCATTGGACTTGCTGCCACATCATTCATTGTGTGTGTCCTTTCAGATTCAGGGTTGCCTTCACAGAGATGAAATATAGTTATGGTTTAGCCATAATGTTTGTGCTCCAGACAGGAAGAAAAAACATGGAGAGGGGAATAAAGGATCTATCTATATCAAAAAAGCCTAAGCAACCATTAAAGCAGAGCAATTGGAACAACGGGTCACTTTGATGCTCACTGACACTAGGGGAAGATGCTCAACAGAGGAGCTGCCCCCTGGTGGTTAGTGTGCTCCACAGGGGGATCAGCCACTCAGCCAGAAGCCGGGCTCACGCTGGCAAGCGCAGCGGTGGTGTTGGGAGCCTCTCCCGCCACTGCAGCAGCACTAAGGAGCGGTGAGCCAAGCGGTAAGGCTCGAGCAGGCGGGCAGTAAGGAGCAAGAGATCCTGGATCCCCTGGAAGATTGGGTCTAAGCCGACAGGCGGACATCCCCTGAGGGATCCCGAACTGTGAGAGGGTGCAGGCTGGGCTGAGGGACACCCCCCTCCAGTTCATGAATTTTGTGCACTGGGCCTCTAGTATATAATAAGTGAACCTTCATTTTCACTAGTAAGGAGATGTCCTGGAAATCATATCTGACAATATTTTCTACATGCTAATGACTAAAATCTAATTGCTAGATCAACCACATATTCTCAGCAACTAAGAATTAAGGTTTTCCAACAAGGCACATTGCTGTTACTAATGAATCATGCTTCTGCAACTAAAGATATTTCCCCTGAAAACCATTCTCTATATCCATCTGCCAATTTGCATTTGTACTGGATAAACAGTAAACATTTATTATTTTATTTATACAATTGTTTAATATTTAAATATTTATAAAACAAATATTTAATATTCATTATTTGATTAACATATAACTAAATATATTTTGCTCAGAATTCGTGATCTTTTCTCCCTAACTTTTCTAGTTATAGTACTGTACATCTCAAGCTTAACAATACATGGTTATGATTGTATATTTTTTCCTCAAGCACTAACTCTAATATGTACTTCTTGTTGCCTTGGTTTCCATATATATCCAGATTCCAATAACTTTTCATGACTGACAATGTTTCTACTCTAGCCAAAACTTCACCTGGACTTTACAGTAGGATTCTAACTGGTCCCAAGGCTTTCACTCTGACTTCCCTCTAGTTTATTACCAATATAGCAGACTGACATGAGTGAACTTTAGAAATGAAATTCAGATTGTCTTTCCATTTTTTATCTCTTATTATTCTCCCTTAATCATTCTGCTCTCAGGACTCTGTCCTCCTCAAAATTTCCTCAACAGGCCCGCAACAGTAGCTTTGGCCAAAGGTCTCTGTACTGTCCTTGAGATCGTGTTTTCTCAGGTATCCTAGAATTTGTCACCCATATTCCTCAAGTGTTGGCTCAAATTTTAATTACCCAGTTAGGCTTTTCTCTGACCACCCTACTTGAAATTATAATAAGATATATCATCATCCTGAATGAAAGGTATTATGAATTCTTCTCCCTTTATTTTTCTTTATTGCATGTATCACTACTATATTTACCAAAATTTGGTTATTCATCCAGATATATCTGCCATAATGAAAAGCAAGTTTTATGAGGGGAGGAATTTTGTGTGCTAGAATCCTGGTACCTAGTAAATTGCTTATCATATAGTTAGTATTAATTATTGAGTAAATGAGTAAATAAAAAGTGAAAGGAACAGGACAGTGGATCTTGCATAACAGGGACAGACAATACAACAGATGAAAATGCATTTACAATGTTAGTCAGACATGAAGGCACCAAGTTGGAAATACAGATTTCGTGAGGTGAGCACACAATGCAATATACAGATAATGTATGTAGAACTGTACACTTGAAACATACAATATTATCAACAAATGTAATTAAATAAAAAATACAAGACTAAGTGCAAGGGAGCAATTGAGGTTGAAATATTTTAGTGTATAAGTAGTGTCTAAACTAATTGATGATTAGCAAATGGTGTAGAGTAGGAATATTTCCTTTTAAAAAATTTCAAAATCTATATATGGCTCCATAGCTCCTGAGCAGCTCACTTAAATATATATCTATGCAGAATAGGAGTTTGAGTCAGATTATATGTAAAACCCCTCTCAAATCTACAAGTATGTGTCTCCAATAAAGACACATCGTCCTCTGCCACCTGGTACTCAGGCAGTTCTAATCTCTTAGAGACACTTTGAATTCTTATTATTAACAATATTTGGAAAATATTTTCTTGGATATTTATAAGATCTATAATTTTATAGATGTGAAGTAATAAGAGGAAATTTCAATACTAGATATTTTATTTGTCAAATTCATTATTTTTAAAAATGATTATATAGTAAAAACAGAGTAACCATTTTTTTTTTTAATTGAGGCCTCTAAAGAAGTAGTCTTGTCTTTCCTAAGAATTCCTTGGAGTTAGAGGTTTCATAGCCTGTATGATTATGGATTCATTTTCTAGAGTGTTTACTAATAAAGGCACCTTCACTATGCAGTAGATTAACATTTTACCTGGCCAGAAGGCAATTTTTTATTTTAAAAATCAACTACAGTACAATCTGCAGGATGTTGGCATATGCTAAAATTTCCTAGCTGGTTTTATTAAATCTTATCTCTCTTGCATTCCACTCAAACACCCTGACTGATAAACTATTTGCCTCATGCATTTGACTTGGTTAAGTCTGTCACGCTACTTGTGTACTACAGCACTGCTGCAGGTGCAGACTTGGCTGATTAAAAGGGTAAATCTTCCTCATTTGTGGTGCTTATTCATCCAGTCCTCAGGGCAATTTAATCTGCTGGCTTTGCTTAATCGAGTTCTTTACTATTGCATCTGTGATTATAGTAAAGTTATTTCTCCCCTAGACACTCAATAAAGTGCTGTGGTAATTTCCATCGTACTGTGAATTACAGTTTCCAAATATAACGGAAGAACCCAGAATCAGTGTCTTTGTTGGACTCCTTTACGTCAGAGTTCTTTACCAGTGGAAAACTTATACAGAGCCTAAAGATAGGAGTGTTGAGAATTTTATATTCTTAAAAACACTATCAATAATTTTGAAAGCTTAGACTTTTTAAAATATCTTGTGTATATAGTGAGATCCCCAATAACTCAGAGAAATATCATTTCTGTAACATTACAGACATGAAGTAAGCCATTCAGGTTTTTTCTTTTCTGTGATGAGAAACAGATGGTACCAATAGATTTCATACAATGAAGCATCATTGCACAATGGAGCATGTTTATCAAGCTAAGAACACGAGTATGAGTCTATTCATAACACTAACTGTTGATAAAATGTGGCAGCCTTGAGGATCCAAAGTATTTCCCCCTTATTTCAGTTTCCCAGGCAGTCATTTAATTATTTGAACCTAAAACGTACGTGTGTTTTATACATTTGCATTTGCTGCTGATACTTGATGTTTTATGTTTTTCTACACAGACTTAGCTTTTTGTCTTGTGTTCATTTTATTATTTTCAGTGTAAATGTAAAATTATATAGTTCATTCAAATTACCAAAATTCCACTATTATTGCTAGTTCCCCATCCATTTGTTCAGCTCTTGATTTAAGTTTCAATAAAATTAATGAATAATGTTTATCAATACTATAACTTTATCGGACGATACAGTAAAATATAACCAGAAATATTGGGAATAAATATTGGGAAAAATAAAAATATTTTCTTATATCAAAATAAATTACTGAAAATACTATAACTTTGTGGTAAATTTATAGTTTTTATTGTTATTCAGAATAAAATTTATTTTTCAATTCTATTTCTAGTTGGTTATTGTGTGTACAAAATAAAAATATTGATTTGTGCCCTGGCCGGGTTTCTCAGTGGCAGCCGTGGGCAAACTACGGCCCACGGCCCATTTGAAATGAATAAAACTATTGAAAAAAAAGACCGTACCATTTTATGTAATGATGTTTACTTTGAATTTATATTAGTTCACACAAACACTCCATCCATGCTTTTGTTCCGGCCCTCTGGTCCAGTTTAAGAACCCATTGTGGCCCTCAAGTCAAAAAGTTTGCCCACCCCTGGGTTAGAGTGTCAACCCTGGCTCCGAAAAGGTTTTGGGTTTGATTCCCAGTCAAGGACGTATACCTGGGTTAAAGGTTGATCCCCAGACCCTGTGGGGGGAGCATGTGGGAGGCAACTAATTGTGTCTTTCTCATATTTATGTTTCTCTCTCTCCTTCCACTCTCTTTAACTTATCAATGAAAAAAATATCCTTGGGTGAGGATTAACAACAACAAAATTGTTTTGTGTGTATTTTCCATGCATCTAGCCACTCATTAAATTCCTTTACTTATTTTAGTAGATTTTTTAAAAGTATCTTAAAATTATCATATAATTTTTATTTCATTGACATGTAAGATATTTTATTGGTTAATATGCAATTTTACTATCTAAATACTTTGGAATTCATTTAATATTGAACTTCGATTTCAACATTTAAAAAATAGTAAGAGTACATGACAATGCTTATTTATCATAATCTTGGAAATGATTTTAAAATTTCTCTGTCATCATGCTTGTTAATATTGAAAGTAGTGTTTATCACTTACTACTTTAATTGAATTTATATTTTTTCTTAGAATGGCTCTTAAACTTATTAAAATTTCATTTTAGCATATATTACTAAAATCATAATTTTGATTTACTGTGTTAATATCATAATTCTTACTTTTAAGTTTCCTAATATCAAAACATTTGCTTGTTTTTGTGTTGTTACAAAGCCATGCTTGGTCATAGAATAATTTTCTTCTAATAAGTTTTATGAACATCTAACTGTGACTGAAAACCTTCTATAGTAGTTCTACTCAGGGGGAAATTAGTAAATAAGCCGACTTTGCAAAGTGTTAAGGAAACACTGTAATCTGTGTAGTTCAAACGAAAAGTTGCCAGTTATTTTCTAAAATGCCTTCACCAACAGCCAGGTGGAGTAGCTAATCCAGCCCAACTCTGTGATTCCACATCTGAAATGCTATATTCACGGTGATTCTTTGTTTTCCTTTTAATTTATCTTTATTGTTGAAAATATCACAGAAGTCTCCCTTTTTTTCCCATTGACTCCCTCCATCCCATACCCACCCCTCCCAGGCCTTCAGCACTCTATTATGTGTGTCCATGGGCTGTGCATATATGCATATAAATTTCCCAGTTAATCTCTCCCCACCCACTCACCACCTCCACCTTCCCTCTGAGATTAGGCACTCTGTTCCATGTTTCTGTGTCTCTGGATCTATTTTGTTCATCAGTTAATTTTGTTCCTTAAATTCCACATATGAGTGAGATCTTGTGATACTTGTCTTTCTCTGACTGGCTTATTCCCTTCAGCATAATACTCTCCAGGTCCCTCCATACTGGCTCAAACGGTAAGAGATCCCTCTTTTTTAATGGTGCGTAGTACTCCATGGAATAAATGTACTACAGCTTTTTATCCACTGATCTGTTGATGGGCACTTGGGCTGTATCCAGATCTGAGCTATTGTAAATTATGCTGCTATGAACACAGGGCTGCATATATTCTTTCTGATTGGTGCTTCAGCTTCTTAGGATATATTCCCTGCAGCGGAATCACTGGGTCAAATGGCAATTGTATTTTTAATTTTTTGAGGAAATTCCATACTGATTTCCACAGTGGCTGCACCAGTCTGCGTTCCAAGTAGCAATGTACTAGGATTCCCTTTTCTCCACATCCTTGTGAGCACGTGTCATGTATTGATTTGTTGATGGTAGCCATTCTGGCAGGTGTGAGATGATAACTCATTGTCATTTTAATTTGAATCTCTCTGATGATTAGTGACTTTGAGCATTTTCGAACTGTATGTTCATTTTGGAGAAGTGTCTATTTAGTCATTTGCCCAGTTTTTAATTGGGTTGTTTATCTTCTTTTTGTTAAGTTGTAGGACTTCTTTATATATTTTGAAAATTTACCCCTTATCAGATCTACCATATATTCTCTCATGCAGTGAGCTCCCTTTTCGTTTTGTTGATGGTTTCTGTTGCTGTGCAGAAGCTTTTTATTTTGGTGTAGTCACGTTTATTTATTTTCTCCTTAGTTTGCCTTTCACTAGGAGATGCATCAGCAAATATATTGCTTTGAGAGATTGCTGAGATTTTGCTTCCTATGGTTTCTTCAAGGATTTTTTTTTTTTACTTTTACATTTACTTCTTTTATCCATTTTGAGTTTATTCTTGTGTATGGTGCAAGTTGGTGGTCTAGTTTCATTTTTTTTCATGTACCTGTCCAATTTTCCCAATACTATTTATTGAAGAAACTATCTTGACTCCATTGTATGTTCTTGCCTCCTTTGTCAAATATTAATTGAACATAATGGTTTGGTTCGATTTCTGGGTTCTCTATTCTGTTCCATTGGTCTGTTTGTCTCTTCTTGTGCTGGTATCAGGCTATTTTGATTACAGTGCCTTTGTAGCAAAACTTAATATTTGGTGTTGTGATCCCTCCAACTTTATTCTTTTTTCTTAAGATTGCTGGAGTAATTTGGGGTCATTTCTGGTTCCATATAAATTTTTGAAGAGTTTGTTCTAGATTTGTGAAATATGCCATTGGTATTTTAATAGGGATTTCATTGAATCTTTAGATTGCTTCGGGTAGTATGGATATTTTAATGATGTTGATTCTACCAACCCATGAACATGGTATATTCTTCCAATTGTTTATATATTCCTTTATCCCCTTTTTCAAGGTTCTGTAGTTTTCTGAGTACAGATCTTTTACATCCTTGGTTAAGTTTATTCTTAACTATCTTATTTTTTGTTGTTGCAATAGTAAATGGGGTTGTTTATTTATTTTCTCTTTCTGAGAGTTCAATTTTAGTGTATAAAAATTCCCTGGATGCCTGGGTATTAATTTTGTATCCTGCTACGTTCCTAATTTCATTTATTAAATCTAGTAGTTTTTTGGTGGAGTTTTTAGGGTTTTCTATGTACAATATCATGTCATCTGCAAATAATGATTCTTTTTATAGGTATAAACATCTGAATCTGAATACTTACAACTATTGTTTTCTAGTGCAGTTTAAGATGAAAAATTTCCATATTGAAATATATTATTATTAATTAATTACCTTTATTCACTATATTACTGTTGGTATAGTATATTGATTTTTGGTATGTGTAGATGTAGTTTATCAATTAATGAGTTTTATTCTAAAATTTAACCACAGCATTACATAATAGATGTAATAAAAAGTGCCTGATATAAGTTTTAAGGAATGAAAGTGCTGAATATGTGCACACGATCACATATATGTAATAGTCACATATTTATGACTTTTTATAGTTTTGGAATTACTGTTATTCCAATGTAATAACTGGGGAAAGTTTTCACTTTTATATGTTCTGCAAGCATTTACATAATTTGAGGAAAATGTCTTCTTCATAAATTAGCCTTTTCTCAGTTAAAGCAATGTGGTCGTGGTGTCTTGGTTTCAATAAGTAATTTTAAATGCCTTTCCAGTCTCTTTCATGCTTTTTGTATATTGAAGTTTCTGCTTTTGGGGGTTAATTTTAGTGTTTTATATTTTTCTTATAAATAATTTGTCTCTAGATTGTAAAAGTTGTGCCTTGATAATTGCATGCCATCTGTATATATAAAAAGCTGATGACCAGAACGCTGTAATGACCGGAATGTTCAGACCAGATGCTATGATGCCCACTATGGCTAGCGAACCAGCCTGATTGGGAGGTGGGGCCAGCTGGCCAACCTCTCACAGCTCCTCCCCCCAGCATCCCCGCCCTTGATCGGCCTCTCCAACCCCAATAGGGGGCAGGGCTAGTTGGCCAACCTCCTGCATCCCCTCGCCCTTGCCGGCCCAACCCTCGATGGGCCCCCACCATCCTGATTGGCCCACAGTCTCTTCACCTGGCCAGCCCTTCTCCTGATGATCCCCCATACCCTATATAGGGTGCAGGGCCCTCCACTGCCAGCCTGGTTGCCTCCAACTGCCTTCCCCTGCCAGCTCGATTGCCCCAAACTTCCCTCCCCTGCCAGTCTGATTGTCCACAACTGCCCACCCCTGCTGGCCATCTTGTGGTGGCCATCCTGTGGCAGCCATCTTGTGATGACATGAGGCATCACGCAAGGGCGCGAGGACCACCTAAGCTTTTATTAGTATAGATACTATACTTATATGTTATAGTTTTTTCCTTTTTTATTTTCATGGCAATCCATTGTACAGTTCTTTTACTAACTCTACTCAGTGCAGGTCCCTAAACATCATAGTTTAATTTTATTTTTTCCCCCAAGAATTTAAATACATAAAATGCTGCAGGGCGTGCCTTTTGGAATCAGCTGCTTTTGCTCACTATGATATTTATAAGCTTTATCCATATGACTGTCTGCAGCATTAGATCTCTCATTCTTGTAGCTGACATGTTAGTTTTTATTGTCACTAAATAACTGAATTTATTGGGGTGACACTGATTAACAACATCATATGGTTTCAGGTGCACAATTCCATAATACATCATTTGTTCAATGTGTTGTGCGTTCACCACCCAAACTCAAATCTCTATCACCATTTATCTCCCCTATACCCACCTCTGGCTCCTCCCTCCTTATTGAAACATTATTTCAAAGTTAATATACAAACACTTTAGACAGTGAAAATTTCTACAATATTACAAAATGATTTTATAATTAGAAAATCTAGTGACAGGCTGCTTAGGTTTATTTACATTCTTTTCTCACAGCAGTTAATCATTTTCCTTTCATCAATCTTCCATGGAACTTTTGATTTCATATTTCTAGATCTCAAGGGAAACGCTTTGAGATAATGAAAGCTCACATTCAAAAGAAACTGACCACAAGGTTTCCTGTTTTGCTGCTTTAAGTGTCTCCTTTGTTCTTGTTCCTCAAAGGCGCCGGATAGATGTTTATGCTTTTGCATGTGTCTTTCTTAACTCAGACACTACTTCTTGGACTCAAAGTACAAGTTGATGCTGAAATTCAATAACCATCTGTTAAGAGATTTAAGCAGCAAAATAGAAAATGCTTAATTCAATTCGAGGTCCACATATTTTATTCTATTTAACTTCAGAATCTGTTTTCAATTATTATATTCAGAAATTTAGGTGAAGAAGAGAAGTTATTTTTAATAATCTTAGAATTAGATTTAAATCTGTCTTGGGTAACCATGATCTCATTAAATTGAAAACTAACATAACTTTTGTCAACATAACTATTACCTTACACATGGGTCCTTGTACTCAATCACATTCAATACAATGGCATAACTGAACATAAATTTCCATTATATTTGTTTAAAATGGTTCAATATATTAGAAACTAATAGAATTTTTCATGATGGGTCTTCTGGGTGATATTTCAAATATTGGAAACATAATTGCATTGAATGAACTTAGTTTTAAAGGCCAAGTAAATTAAATGTATTTTTATTTGGGACATCAACCTGAAATAGTTGTTCATAAACAAGTTAAGTCTCCAGAAGAAATTTTCCAGCTAGGATTTGCAGTGAAGGAAGATTATTCCATATTTTGGAGTTCCATTTTTGGAAATAACCTTATTACGTTTTGGGTTAGAATACCATATCCAAAATAATGAAAAATAATTACATGTACTTGAAAGAAGGTAATCTATTATCAAAATATTCGAATGCCCTTGTATTTTCAGACATATGGATAAACATTTAACTTTGTTAATTTAAAATTACATGTTAACACCTCAAAGATGTTCAGTATGAAAACAAAAGCAAATGATCTACTTTTCAGATCAGTGGAAGGAAAATACAGAGGAACAACAAAACATCATTCAATAAAAAGGGCAACACGTGAGAGAGGAATAAAGCAGGAGATTAAATTTTTTTTTATTATGTTGGTAGTCAGTTATTCATGTATATGCATAATAATAAAATCTTTAATGAAATAAGTTACCTTGGCAAAGTAGATTTTGTCAGACTAGATAATAAAATGACCTAATCCAATCATATGATGTTTATAAAAGATATACTCATGTTGATTTTAAAAAGGAATGAAGTTAAAAGAAGACTTTATAGCAATTAGATGAGTTGATCAAGGACTGACATCCTTTGTCTATACAGAATTATCTGGTAAATATTTTAGGTTTTGTGAGTTGCAAAATCCCTGTTATCAACTTCTCAACTCTGCCATTGCAGCAGGAAAGCAGGTTTTAGCCATACTTAAAGGAATGGGGGGATGGTGTTCTAATAACAGTTTACACAAGGAAGCAGACCATGGATCACATTATATGACTTGAACAAGCCTTATTATCGAAACAACTGAGTTTCTGTATTAAAAGGAATGTTGAGCAATGGCAGAACTGTGAAATTATAAAACACCAGCTCCCCAATTAGTAGAAACAAGGAATACTGGAATAAATAAATGTTAACATAATATATATTTTGTGAGAATTTCTGAAAAGCCACTCCTGAAACACTGATCAATTTTTTTGTTCTAGTTCACCTATCTTCTAAAGAAAGTTTTCTATATTCATTATGTACTACCAACTTCATATTCTCTTCTTAAAATACTTCAAGCATGTTTTATTTTTCTCATTATAAAGAATTTTCCATTGTCAAAGGTACAAATGAACTTCATATTGCAAAACGCAAATCCATTGTGTTATCTGAATTTTTATCTCAGCAGTATTTAACCTTGTACAATTGCTGCCATACACACACACACACACACACACACACACACACACACTCCCTCTATCACTGTTCCCTCCAACTGTCTCATAAAAATAATCTTCAACCCCCTGCCAACTAGCCATACATTCAAAAACATAAGAGATTCTTTTAAAAAATTTAATTAATTTCTATTGTTATAAGTATTCCATAAGTCCCTTTCCACCCCCCGCTCCCCGCCCCTGTTTTGGCCCCTTGTAGCCCATTCCCCACTTCCCCCAGACCTTCACCACCCTATTGTCTGTGTCCATGGGTTTTAGATATATGCATACAAGTTCTTTGGTTGATCTCTTTCCACCCACCTTCCCTCTGAGATTTGACAATCTGTTCAATGGTCTCATGTCACTGGATCTACTTTTGATTCTCCTATTTTCTCACACACACACCTGGATCAGTTAGGTTGGATTAATTTATCGTATGCTTGGTGTACATATTAGGCTGTCAAAACATATTGACATAGCCCACATTATGGCACTATTCCTTAGGGTGATCAGCCAGTTTCCAGGTTTGCAGTTTGATTATATTTCTTCACTTTTGCTATAAAAAAGATATTATTACTGAAATAGAAATTTATCCTGGATAAAGATTTACCTTCCCTATATGTAATATGTCTCACAAAACTACCATTATTTGCACACAGAATGCCTTATTTACTACCACTTCATATTCTCTTCTTAATATAAAATTTTAAGATGGGAAACCATAGAATCTGTAATAAATAAGAAGGAGTGTGTATGTAGGAAAGAGCGATGGATAGAATGTCATAAAATTGAATTTGTTTGAAATCTTTGAATTTTATATATGAGGAAAACAAAGGCTCATACATGTAAATAGGAAAATGGTTGTAGTATTCCACGCCAATAATAAAAAAACTCAGCAAAAGAAGCATGACAATGGGTCTATGCTCATGGGACTCACTGATCTTTCCATGTTGCCCATCATCTTGTAGTAGGTGGTTTGATGGAATAGTGGAATGGGCCTTTGCAGCTCCAGGGCTAACATCCCTAGCTTCTTGTGAAGAGGTAAATAATTTAAGAGCCAATAAAGGAGTCATTTTTGGCCCATTTATATAACAATTCCTACCTGAGTTTCCAGTCTGTTGGCTTGCTCTACAGATTTTAGACCTGCCAACTCCCACAGTCACATTACATTACATTAGAAAGTCCGTTCCTAAATGCTTTCTAAGACTCATGTATCTTAGTAACTATCCTGACTTTAATCACATTTAATAACCTCTCTTGGCCCCTTGTGTAAATGCAGTAGACTCCTTCTTGCAACTTGAAGCCATGCCAGACCTGCTCTAGCCTCAGAATTTTGCACTTGCTGTTCCTTCTGCTAGTCATGCTCTTCCTACCTGCCCGGCTAACATCCTCGCTTTCTGCAGATTTTCCTTCAAAGATTGATTTCTCATGAAGCCTTCTTTGAACGTACTACCAAACCCCTTTCTTTCCTTGTTTCATTTCTTTTTCTTTAGTGCTTATATTATTTAATTACCATGAATTTTCCTAATTTATATCACTTTTAATCTGTGTCCCTCATTAGAATACAAGTAGGCAGTTTGCCTCTCCTATTATTTTCCATTTCTCAGAGCCTTTGAAAGGTGCCCGATAAAAGGAGTTGGTAAAAAAAATATTAATTAAATCATACATTTTTACAAATCTCTGCTATGCACACATGGAGATTACAAATGGTTAAATTAATCCAGAGTTAGTGATTTACAAGCAATTGTGACAAAAGTAAAGGGTAATAATGGGTATGAGGTTAGTTGTATGAAATTATTAAATGTTATAAAATTGAATTTGTCTGAAATCTTTGAATTTTACATATGAGGAAAACAAAGGTCCACCGTTTTATTACTTTGCTAAGCTTTATACATGTAAATAGGAAAATGGTGAAAAACTGACTTTTGTATCCTGACTTCTAGAAACAAAATTTAAATTGTTCAGTGTCTCATTTCCCCAAGCTCATTCACCCATATAAAGGTAAGAGAGAGAGGGAGACAGAGAGAGAGCAAATGAGAAAGAAAGCCAATCAGGATTTTATTCCTAAAAATTAATAAGAAGATCAAATTATATTATTGTAATGTGAGCTTAAAGTAGCAATAGATGTTTTTATGGTAACTTTTAAGTTAGCACAGTTCTTGGGAGATAACGTCCATATGCTTTTATTTATTTTAGATCACAAGACCAAGACTGTGGTATTAAAGTTACATAACTTTAAATAAAGTTAAATAAAAACAAACAAATTGCAGAGTTTTTATTTCTTTTTGCTCAGTTAGGCAGATGCAATGTGATATGTATGCTTCACCTTC